TCTACTCTCTCTCTCTCTCTCTCTCTCTCTCTCTCTCTCTCTCTCTCGTGTGTGTGTGTGTGTGTGTGTGTGTGTGTGTGTGTGTGTGTGTGTGTGTGCGCGCGCGCGCGCGTGCGTGCGTGCATGTGTGTGTCGCTTATATTCATAAAATTATATAATTGAAAATAATATTGTTATCTTTTGCTGTAATAAAATTAAAATGAAATATATATTATTAAATAATTTTTTAATATATAAATTTTGTTTATCATGTATATAAATATCATTTATTTAATTAAGATTATACGTGTGAAAGCTGTGATATTTAAAGAATATATTTTCTCATTTATTACATTTAATTTGTTTTATCTTGATAAACGTTCGTGAAAATTTTAGAGGGAAAAAATGCAGAAGGTATCAAAATTCATGGGAATGTGATTCCTGCGGTCGACGTTCACATAAATGCCAACGAAATTGCTTTTGTCTGATAAAGCGAATTTGTAAAATGCGTAAAGAAATTCCGCAGGATTTGCCACGTATCTCATAAGCGTTTGCGCGATTCAACTAAACCGGTTTCATTAACGAAAAGGCGTTTACTCGGACATAATCATAAATCGATAAGATTCTTCTGCGTAGATTTTCTTATCGATGTTTGCATATGATATTAAGGATATCTTTCTAGTTAGATCTGTTCCATTTCTCCTAAAAAAAAAATCAATCTCTTGCTGAATAATAATATCACATGATTTAATATAAAAAAAATTTCTCCGATGAAATTTTTCTTTTGAAAATTTTTGGTGAATTTGAAACAAAAGAAATTGTTTACTGTGAAATGTAAATATGATCGATTAATATCGTTGTTATATCATCGGATTGCTTAATACAATCACCAGCAGAAATCATAAATTACGATGGAAATAAATCAACAATCAATTTATCAAATATTTTTTTTATCGCTGCTTATTCATAGAGGAGAATGGAATGCACGTCATCGGAATTGTTTTCGACACGTCGTTACACACTTTATTCTGGGTCGATGCCTTGAAGGAAACCATTGCGAAGATGCACGTATCACAGCACGGTGAACCGGGTGATCCTGTCATTTTGCACAATCTCACTGGGAACAACCCACGTGGTGTCGCCCTCGACGTGTGTAACAGGTGTGCCATTTACAATATCCTGCGTCATGGAGATTCCTCCTCCCATCGCCGATTCATTCGTAGAATCGAGAAATGTCAAACGGTCACCAATCAGAAGTCGCAAATTCCGATAGAAATAAATAAATAAATATCATAGAAATGCAGTATAGGATCCGGAATCTAAGTTTTAAGTATATTCTTTATCAATTCTTCTTTATCAATTCTTCTTTATCAATTTTCGATTCTTTATCAATTCTATTATTATCTGATGATACTTTATATACGGTTTGGAAACTTTTATCATTGTTATTCAGTATGTTGTAAGCGTATAGGGTAAAATAGAACGATTAGCAATTATGCATAGTACACATAAAGCGGAAGTAAAGAGCACAAGACATGAATAGATCTCATATGGATAGCTGTCGCGGCAATTCCCAACACATTCATCCGCCTCGCATTGTCAGCGAATGCTGATGCTTTAGAAAAGCATAAAAAAAAAGTAAAAGCGAAGCTGAAAATGTGAGCCTGAAAAAGTTGCCCTTATTCAGATATTCCGATTGCTTATTCATGAAAAAGTCTTTTACAGTAAAATATTTCATATCATATTTTGTCATTATATGCAAAAAAGAAATATATCTGGAAAGTTAAATTTATTTATAAATGTAATTATGATTATCGATACGAAATAAATTTGATATGTTTTGTTTTGAATCCGAACAAAAATCACAAAGAAAGAAAAAAAATAAAAAATCAATATAAAAAAATTTTTCTTTAGCCGCATATACTGGACGAACAGCAACACTACGAACCCTAGTATCGAGTGTTCCAATCTTGATGGGAGCGATCGGAGAATCGTTATTCAGGAGAATTTATATGAACCCCTGGCAGTGGCGATCGATCATGCAGAGCAGAAACTATACTGGATCGACGATGTCGAGGGAATCCACTTCAAGATCGAACGCAGCAACTTGGATGGCAGCGAGCGAGAACTGCTGGTTCATAATAAGCACCAGCAACCGGTTTATCTGGCAGTGGATAAGGAATCGATGTATTGGTCCGATTGGGTGCACAGCGCGATATGGACCATGCCAAAGAAAGCCAAGGTTGGGGATTATCCGATACAGTTCAAATCATACTATAACTCTAAAAGGGACGCCGATCCGGCGGGCATTGTAACGCGTGACAACGTCGGTCAAATCGATTGCGCGACGATCCTATCGACAATAGAGAAGAGAACGAATCTATCCGCGGCTGTTCTACGATCAGCCGTTGAGACGTTCAACAATCTAACTACCAGCACGGAGGAATCGGATTTGACCACCGAGAGCTCCAAATACTGCCTAAATAACGGCCACCTGAACAAAACGGACAACACGTGCCGATGCAAAGAAGGGTAAGAAAGTTATTTCAAATATAGCTCTAAGCAAATTATTGAATAAATGATATTGACGATAAGACATAATAAAAACAAACGACTATGGAACTTTTTGGATAAAATTAAGAGTATTTTTTATAAAAGAATTTAGATGAGAATCAGAATTTACATAAAAAGATGAAATTTTATACGAAAAAAAAAAGAATACAATAGTACATGTTAGTCTAATTTAACTTTTAAATATTGTCAATTTTTTATATAATTCTATTTGTGTAGCTGCATATATAAAAAATCCCAATGAATTATTATGTAAATGATTTTTATTAGACAGATATTTCTGTATTCAGTTAACAGACTTTGAGAATTTATATAATCCTGCAGGTTCGTCGGACCCTTTTGCGAAATTTCCCTCTGTCACAATTACTGCCTCCGTGGTAAATGCATTATAAATCATCACGGATTTCCCGAATGCGAATGCGCGGACACATTTAGCGGCGTTCGCTGCGAAAGAGACATTTGCAACGGTTACTGCCTTTTCGATGGTGAATGTTCCGTCCAAAATGGAAGGCCAGTCTGTAGCTGTAAATATTCCAAAGGGACCCGATGCGAGGAACCGAACGACATCGTGGAGATCTGCGCATTTTATTGTGCGAGCGCCCGCACTGAATTACCTAACGTGACGTCGTGCAGGTATGTAAAAAACTTTATTTGTATCAATTTATTTGTATCAATTTATTTGTATCAATTCTGTATGCATATTTTCGATATTTAGTAACAACGTTGTTTAGTAACAACTTTTAATAAAGAAAAAATAATTAGGAGTCCAGAGATTACAAGTGTATCTAAGAAGAGTGATATTAATATTAATTTTAATTGTTGCGATTCAGAACAAACATGTGATTTTGAAGGCAATTTATATAAACACAGGAAAACACAGGAAATTAATATCTGATTGTGTTTGAACAGGTGTACGGATTCTAATCAAACGGCCGAAAGAATTACGCTTACTAAAAGTTTTCAAGATGGTACGCTATTATCGATATTCGTAGGCCTCACTATTCTGTTTCTTATAATGGTCGGCGTACTCAGTTACTATGTCAACAAATTACGAAGGCGACCGCGAATCAAGAGGCATTACGTGGTTAGTAAGGGCATTACGCCGCTCACATCCCGACCGCAGATACCGGACAATCAGTGCGAAATTACCATAGAGAATTGCTGCAACATGAATATCTGCGAAACTGTGAGTGATATGTCATCTAAATAACGCCGCATGTAATTGATAGCGTGCGTCGCGTCAGTGTCACTGACGCCAAAGAAACTTAAGACCGAATCTCGCGACGCTCATCTTCTTCGCGTCTTGTATTTTGCTTGGGATGCAAAATCATGACTTCTCGCAATCGCAATCGTTATCACACTCCTGTAATTACAATAATTATGAGGAAAGAAATTTTATTCGACTTAATTAACAAGAATATGCGATTGCATGACTCCAATTCGACAACATTTTAACTTTGAATTTAAAAGAAGTAATGGAATATCTATTCTCCTCTGAGCTGTTTTTATTTAGAATTACAGAGATCATCTGTACTGTTAGCTTCCGAGGAAGATATAATTATTAGAGACTGTATATTATGAGTACGAGATTTTAAGCTACTTGCGTCTATCTTAAAAAAATCTTGTTATATGCTATTTTAACTGCCTTAACTGGAAATATTTTGGAAATATGAAGTGATAGTTTTCAGAGCAGTATTGTGTTAGTATTATATTGCAAGTAATAATTATTTATTAGTTAAATAATTTATTTAATTTTTTATATTAAAGGTGTAAAGTTACTTAAAAATGAATATGCAATATAATTTTATTTAATATGCAATAGACTTTATGATTATTTATTTTTATAATTTGCACTTGTTTTTATAATCAAGTCTATATAATTATTTATCAAAGATATTTTATTTATCATTAATTTTTCGCATTAAATTAAAAACTTGTATTAATCTTGGGAATAGACGTAAAACATGTGATTGTCAATATTCGATATATATTTGGAAAGTTATCATATTCTTTTTTAGTATTCATTATCCTTTTATCTAGTATTAACAATATTTTCAGAATTTATTTGAGTGATGAAAAAAGGTTGGCATTAATGGAAGCATTATCTTAATGCAAAGAGAGGACAAAGTCAAATTATACTATCTCCTTTATACATACTTAATATGTTCATGCGTAGATTTCAATTTGCGTGCGCAATGTCAACGATCGAATTATATTAAGGCTGATCTGTTTTGCCGTTACATTTCCATTTGGCAATCAGCTAAATTGGAACTGTAATTCAATCCCGTACAGTGTTAATTAAGCGATAATCCCGACAGTTATGGTTTTGTTTTGTCGCGCACAATTCTAAAACACAATGTACGTTTGTTATAAAATAAAACGACGGTCATATTAAAAATAAGACTTCCTACAAAGACGCCTGTGCTCTAATGACTAATATTGTGTGCTATTTCTAAAATTCAAGCTTTTTATAAATTTAAATGGATTTGTTTTGTTTATTTCGTCATTTTACAAAATAGAAATCGATATAGCGACTATCAGATAGATAATAGGATAATTTCGTTCTTTTACAGCCATGTTTCGAACCAAAATTACGAAGTGGCGTGCCAAGGAGCAATAGTATGAAAAAAGAAGAGAAGAACTCCTTGTTGGATAATATGGAGGGTAATTCGTGCTAGCACATGCTACTTTCATCTCGTCCTATGAAATGGCGAAAATTCTGCACGAGCTCTGCATCGCGTCGGAGATCGTATACGCTAAATCTTTCCACGTTTGTATATAATATGACGGTGAATTCTAGTATTGTTGTTAAGTTTGAAAACATCCGCGTTGATGGGATACTGTATCGGCAACGATTTCCCTCCATCTTGAAAAAGAAAGCCAAAGGTCTTTTTAGAAAGTCCTATTTCTTAGTACGTCATACACGTTAGGGCTGTGTTTTAGAACCATTCTTCACTTAGTAGTCATTAAATTTATCATTTTATAAAGGATTGGACGTTGGATCAAACAGAAAAAAGTTATAATAGCATCTAATTCTTGAGGCTCATTTTAGATTTTGATGTCATTATAACTTTTTGTTCTGCTTGGATCGATTTAATTATAGAATACACGCTGATTTAAAATTTTTTTTTTAAATCTATTAGACGCGCAATTTCTTCCGCTCGCAGTTGTAAGCAACATTAAAATTTTAAATAATGACGCAAGATATTATTATCTATTATGAAAATGTAAATAATACTTTTCATTGTTTTCTTATATTATTAATACATCTTCATAAATAGATGACGATAACTCAATTAGATAAATCAGTTTTTAAAGCAGTATGTAAAATAATAATAACTTCTAATAAAAATTCATAGAATTTTCATCTCACAAAATTAAACAGGAGATAAAATGATATTGATCATCCATGATTGAGATAAGCAAGCGAAGGGAATTGCGTATAGGCAGCTTAATAAGAACTTTTCTATAATCTATCTGCTGAACAACATAATCTTGTTATGAAAAGTGCTAATATTTCTTTATCTTTTATCACGTTTTATTTTTGTTTATTTCTCTTTACCATTTAAAAAAGAATTTGTGAGCAAATTGAAGAGAGGAGAGAGAAAGTGAAAGATAAGGAAAATGTAGCTATCGCAATTATAAGGGATGTGCAAAAGTTGCCTTAAGCGATAATTCTAATCGTTGCTCAAATCACTGACAAAGTACTACATTCCTGAAAGAAATTTAGATCGCGATATGGCATCGCAGAGATAAATAATTCTCTTATAACATTTTTTGACTGAACCACCTGTCAACGAAGTTTACAGTACGTAAATTTTGTCAGTAATTTTATCATGCCAGTTCATAATTCGACATTTGTCATTTTTTTGTCGATTTTACATCTCATTCACGCGGATTATCGTCGTGCAAAAGTTTATATTTCGGTACAAACGCTTCTCTCTAACTCCATTCTCAATTAATCTATTTCGTATAGATTTCCATAACTGTTCAATCGCTGACCATTCTTTATCATACTGTGAGTACAACATACGCGTGTATATACATGTACATCTAACATTTGTGAATACGCAGAACGAAGAATTCGGATTGGGTCGTGCTTTTATGCACTTAAAGATCCTATAACACGAATTCACCGCTGTTGGATGTTAATTCAATTCGGGAATCGTTATCACTGATGTAAATTCAGAGTAGTAATATGAAAATTTTATGTGGCATTGTCTAAGCAACTAAATATGTAACACGCATACATATATTATATTACGAGGTGTATACTAGATAAAAAATAGGAAAATGTTCAAAGAGTCACAATATATGCAAACGATCCTCATTCGAATATTGGATACCCAGTGATAAATTACACTGTAGATCTGTGAAACTTTGCCAGAAGTTTCCAATGTGCTTATACACCGATAATATCTGTAAATCTTAATTTATCTGATTTCGAAGGTCATCAGGATCGTTTTTTGTATGGTATCGTTTGAAGATACCCATAGCGTTTATTGCAGAACAAAATCCGTTTACTTAATTCTGAAAGCTTTTGTTCTGTATCGATATATGTAACGCGAAGCCAACTTTTAAATCTACTTCTTTTCTTCCAATTTTATTCCGTCGCGGGAGCGAAATATTATCCATGAATTTTATTCTATATCGCGTGTAATTATGATTTATATGATGTACATGCGAAGTCACATACGAGATATATAGCGCACTTGTACATTACAATTGATTTTATTTCGGTTCTTCCATTTATAAGGAGGATGATCGCAAATTTTATTTTTTTGTAATATCTATATTTTTGCGCAAATCGATTATAGTGCATAGCAATTACTTAAAGCATATAATCTGTTACATACACCAAAGTTATTTTTGCTAGTAATAATAATAAAGTGAAACAGTACAATATTATTGGTTTGCGGAATAATATTGCAATAATATTGAATTAAAATATTAGACCTTGTTTTACGATGTTACATGAAAGTTTCGTATTATCAAAAGTTTTTATTTTTAACTGTCTAACTTAACTCATGTTATAAGAGTGGCAAACCAATGATTACCATGTTGTTCATTTAATTTATAGGGTTTATATTATTCTTTATGATACGGAATAATGTTCCTGTCGTTGTGGCAACAAATTATTCACAGTACATGACGATGCTTTTTGTTCCTGTATACGATAGATGCTACTTGAAGAAAATTATCATATTTGCTTTTTAAATTTATTGTATAATTTTGTACTAAAGATTTGCGACATTTTGCTCGATTCTATATATATATATATATATATATATATATATATATATATATATATATATATATATATATATATATATATATGTATTTTAAATGAAATTATATATATGAAAGTTGCGCGATATGTATCGATATTGTGTTTGGAAGATAGCCCTCTCCCACACACTCATCCCCAGAGATGGGATAGTGGATTTATGGTGAAAGGGTTATATTCCTGAAAAAAATATGAAATGTAAGCTATGATGATGTATAATATGCAATATGTATCTTTATTTTATATAACATATCCAAAATGGCGAAATTCGTCGAAATGCAATATTTTCTCGAGCTTATTAAATAACATAATTATTTTTAGGTAAGAGTAATTATTTTTAGGCAAATAATTATTTTTAGACAGAAATAATTATTTTTAATAATCTACTATTTTGCATATTTAATATTTGATTTGAATATTAAATACTTTCTGCATAGAAATTCGAGAATTTATGATATTTGTTTTGAATATATGTACTTAAACTTTATATGTACAAAGTCGTATTTATATTATGAAACTTTAAATAATTAAATGCAATTATTAAATGCAATTTAAAAGCAACATTGCATATTGCATATTTTATATCCCTTTACAATGGTTATAACGCTGGTTGCTATTGTATACAGATTAAAGTGAAATAAAATGTATTATCTCTTATTACTGTGTAACCCTCTAAGAATTCACAGTGGACGCCCATTAAACATCCAATCAATTTCTTTGATAGATCATTCTCTAGGAATTAATAGTGGACGTCCATTAAAAATCCAAACTCCATAATGGATGATACTCCAGCAATCCACGATGGATATCCATTAGAAATTTAATCAACCTCCATGATGGATCCTTTAGGAATTCATGATGGACATCCCTTAAAGATCCAGCCAATCTTCATGATGGGTGATCCTCTAGATATCCACCCACCAAGTGGACATTTATTAGACTCGTTGTAAATCACTTAACGAAAAAGAAATTAAAAGTTTATTTATAAGTTGTTGCATATATCTTATTTACTTATATTTGATTGTGTATAAATGATTACACAAATACAAGAAAACATATTTCGTCGAATAAGAGAAATAACTCACATATTTAATGACTATAACAGATATATAACAGATATTATTATTATTATATACAGATATTATTTAATGACTATAATAGATATACAAACAAGTAAATAGATTATATATATAAATTTATAAATAATAAAATTTATAAACAATTTTCACATAGAACATAATATTAAAAAGTTATATAACATATAATCTTCACAGCTTTATATATATAGAGTTAAATTATCCAAAGAACTTGCGTATGCAATCGGGATATTGAAACTATTTAAAGCATATGACAATATGATAACATTCACCAATCAGAGATCTGTATTATATTTTTACATCTAAATCGTAAGTTTAAGTCTAATTATACTCTGATTCTAGCAGCAGATTTCAGCGGAGCACAGAAATGAAAGGAGTTCGAGCATATAGTGTACTACAAGGATGGGTGACCATCCGAAAAAATGTGTGACATTATCAACATTGTAAGATGAAAAATGATTTTATTACTTCCATTACACGCTACATATGCATGCGCTTCGTGTTTTCGAAGAAATATTTTTGTCCAGTATATAAAATTCTTTTTATTAACTTTTCCTGACTGTTTCATAATATCAAATCCTAATGAATCCTCTATTAGGGATCCATGTAACATCGGTTAATTATCCATCGAGGCTTCATAAATCCTCTAATCATCAATCATCCACATAACGTTTAACAGACGTCTAATAGAAGTCCACAAGGCGGAACAATGGATTTCTAATGGACACTCACTGGAAGTTCAAATCTTCACGATGTCTAATGAACGTTCATTAAAGATTTTTGTTCTATATGGGAATATAATGGATATAAATTATAGTTTGATAGAATTATATCTAATTCTGCTTATAAAATATTTGTATGATAATTAGAGAGGATCGTATTGCTGCAACTTTGTTGAAGAAAACAAATAACTTTCTTCAGCGTAAAAAATTTATATAAAAAATATCTGAAAGAAAACTAAGTATTTAAATCTTTTTATTAGTGGCGGAATGAAGGAAGTTTGCTAATCGACAACGGACAAAACAACAAGGAATCAAACAATCGATAGAAGAGTATAATTTGTGATGAGAATGTACCGGAAGCACAGATAGCAGTTCCGGAAGACAACATTATCGATTTGCTACAGAGTGTTCGAACCAAAAAATTTAGAAAATTTTTCATTCGCAAAGTATCTATGCTGGACCTTAAAATATAAACTACCTGAATCATCAACTTTAACAATTTAATGTGTCGCTTCATGAGATAGAGCGACATTTATTTTTTTAGCTTCATTTGATGCAAAAACGCGTCAAATGAGCATAGTTTTATCCATATTTGAGGCGAGGGATTTAAACTGTATAATTACTCTCCTATATTTAATATAACAGTTTTAACAATACACACTGCAAGAGAAGTAATATTTTAAATAACGAATAAATAAAGTTAATGTAATGAATAATAATTAAATTAAAAATTAAAACTTTTATAATAATTAGCAGAGTACATTTTCTAAAAGTTTGTTATTTATTTAATTATAACTTTTAATATTTTTTATTAGACTATCAGAAAATGCTAGAAGTAGTTTTAATACGAATGGAAAATATTTAATGCTTTCTAATTTTATAAAAAAATAATGAAAATTTGCTTGTTAAATCTGATTCGACGCAGGTAGTGAAAGCAATTGAGCAAATGATCGTCGATAAGCATAATGCAACTGCGCCACTTTTCGATTCGATGAATGAAGGATTTTTGAAAAGAAATGCGGATTCATCTGTGATTGATCAGCCGGACAATTTGGAGAATAGCGCATCTCGAGGAAATCAAGCGAATCCCAAGCACTTCGTATACTTTGATTTCACCTCATGACGTACAGGAACATAATCACAAGAGAAACTCTGTACATCGAGAGAAGAGTACAAAAGTTCTCAAAAGTGAGGATAAGAGGATAAGTCGATATCATTGCCATGATAAAGGAGAAGACAAGGATCAAGCTGGAGGAGGTGAGGATGAAGCTGGAGGAGGCTTGATATCGTAAGGAGGAGACCAAACTCAGAATGCTTTTTCTGTTACAAATTAGATAGAATTAAACAGGATTATGGAGACAAATAAATATTCTTGAATATGACACGGGACACGTTGTAAGTTCATTATTTTTTTTTATTTTATTGATCCTGGTGTTGGTACTGGTCGTAAACGAGCTGGGTCAATTATGAATATAAATGTGTGTCTCTACGTAATAATGTGTCTATAATGGTATATCTGTAATTGTGTATAAATGTATGTAAATCTCTATGTAATAATTTATCTCTCATAAATACTCATAATCTCTCATAAAATTAATATAAGATCGTAATAAATATAAACTTTCTGATAATTTTAAACTTCTAATAATTAATAATTATTGCGTTATGCGATATTATTTGGCTTGATGATGTGAATACTGCGATGTTGCGATGAATATGCAGAGAATCGAAAAATTCTGAAAGTAATAAAAAAGGAGAGTATTTCGAGAGTATTTCGTGTTTACATCATACGGTGTATAAATCAGTAATTTTTGGTTGAAATATAAAAACACAGAGAACTTGTTTATGTTTTCATTCAAAATTAAAAAGAATTTATATAAAATGTATATAAGAGATTTATATAAAATATATATAAGAGAATTAATCGAGTAAGAAATGTACAATGAGATTTTTATATTGTCATTGGAGTCTTTTTTGTGTCTTAAAATATTTTTTAATTATTGGAATATCTTTTCTATACTATATTTTTATATTATTACGAGATATTTTGCAGTCGTTTTGGAAAACAGCAGACACTATTTCTAAAAAATCTTTAGGAAATACTTTTATAAAGCGATATCCTTAACCTCTCAGTTATTAGTTATATAATTATATATAAATGTCAATTCTGAATTAGATAATTTCTTCAGTAAGACAATAAAAATCCGGATTATTCGGAATCTATTTGAAGGATATAATAATAAATGCTTTGGCAGTCATTAACGGCGGAATTGGCAGTGACTATTGACTAGTGACAGAATAGATCGTAATGCACATGCTTGATTTGTCGTGGATTGTCGTTAGTCGATTTTTCATATACTCTCATTAAAGTAAATAAATAAAGCAGGGATCGTTCGCGTTACATAATTTCAAGAGCGATCTCCTCGCGTATTTTTTCTACATAAGATGAAAATTGTCGTTGAGGGCTGACTTCGCGGCGTTCGAGCAATGAGTGACTTCGAAAAGGGATGGATCAGTGTAGATCGGCTCACTCGGATCAAAACCGCCACGTCGACCAGTGGATAATCCCATAGTACCCTCTAAAGCGATGGAGGACGAGGCGAGACGTTGGCTGATAGCATTACTCATTGATCTCGAGATCGATCTAGTTAAACGGTATTATTTATTAGGACCTATATTGTTAATTAAATTTTCATACGGTTATATGAATAGAATTAATAATAAAATAATTAATGGTATAACACGATATGATATTACTCAGTAATAAAAATATTAAATATTTTCATATAATGTTATATATTTTTTTTCACATTTCTTACGACTCAGAAGTTAAGACGCGTAAATAGATTCGTTTTTTTTTAATTACTTACGACGCCTGGAATGGTTTCTGAAGACCCGTCCTCATGAAAGAAAAGTTGTTGACTCGGCTGCTGTAAGGCTCGTCGGAATGGCTGCTGCGATTGCAGGTTTTGTCGAGTCTACGATTTTTTATGATCACGGAATAAACGTATTTTCTGAAATAATGAATCTCTTTAAATTCGCTTAATATAAGCGGGAAATACAAGACATGTAATATCCAAGAGGGACTTGGATGTCTCATTAATGTAACTATATGTTTATATACTATAAACTTATAAAATACATACAGACTAATTATTGGTGGTTAACGAAGTAAAAGAGATATAAAATGTCTAGACGTGAAATGCAAGCTTTACCTGTAAACGAGCATGGATAAGAGAACGACGGAGGCTAAGAGCACGACGAGGATTCCCACTGCGGTAACCAAGCCGTAATATTCGTTTTGTGTTATACAAATACTTTCCAAGATCTTGGTTTGTTTCTCGACGACGGTGTCTCCCTCGATGTCCATCCTCGAATCGAGCACCTATCAAAATACGGATGATATTACTTAATCGTCACTAGAAACAGAGACGACATCTTTTTTGTGAAATGAATGAAATGAATCTATCTTTGATACCTCTATCATCTCTCTGACGTGCTCTTCCTCCTCCTCTTCGTTATCCGGCTCGTCGCTCGCGACGTCGGTCGCATTGAAAATCGTCGTCGACACGTTGTTAGCGTCACCGTCCGTCACCGGCGTTATCGGCGGCATTTCTTGATCATCTTGGTCCACTACCGTGTCGTTATTTACGTCCCTTCGCCGTCTACCGAAGGACGGCTCGCTTCTACCGGTACCACCGGAGCAGTACGCCGGTTGGCAACCATCGCGACACGTTCGTACGTTCGCCTCGAACACCAGGAAATTTGATTCGGGTATTTTGAAGGCGTTGAAGCGGGCCTCGAGGCTGTCGCCGTCGCGAAGGCGATCCAAGCCCGGAAACACGTAGTTGTCCACCGGACAGCTGCAGAAATTTCCGTTTTTCAATCACATACTTGGTGGTGTGTTCGATGTACGCGAAGTTGGTCGCGAAAATAATTTAATTTACTTGCAATTTTAGTGCAATTTTGAATATTATTGCCTCTGTGTGAGACTTATTAATGACCGATTCGACATCAGCGTAGATTTACTTTAATCTCGGTTTTAAACTTGCTCTTTATCTTTTTCCGATTCTTAAAACTGAAAAAAGAGTGAAGAGTAAGTTGAACCAAGATTAAAGTTAATCTACATTGGAATTGGGCATAAATCTATTATTTTTATTATGTTGTTTGTTTGTGATACATTGGATTCAACCGCTTTAACAATTTAACAATTCAAATTGAATCGAGATGGAGTGACAGTCCTGTCCGATTTTTACGCTTCGAACGCAACTTTAAGGTGTCTCTACTTTTGCTAACCGAATTTTATTACTGTAACGATTTTTATATAAGCTTAATTTATCTCATTTGTTTTCACTCTGGTTTTAATTTTTGTTTCTCGCACTGATGAATATTATCTATATTGAAGATTAAAACGTTTGCGTGATAATTAGAATGTTTTTGTAAAAGTTATTATTTGTTTAAAAATATACATCTAACATTACCACTCAGCTCATATAGTTGTTTATATTCTTTCTAATTTATTAAATTATGTGATTTAAATATATCTTTGTGGTGTTAAATATATCTCTGTGTCTATATATTTCTTTGGCAAAAATCGTAAAAGATCTGTTGTAGTATCTGTGGTAAAAAAGAAATAAAGTTGTGATTATGTTACTTCTAGTAGCGGTGTCGGTCTTTCTTTCTCTTTCTTTTGCTTTTAGAAAATGCAGTATTTCTTACCCATATCTGTCTATCAGCTGAACGCTTCTACCAGAGTAGGGATCTCTCGCGATAACGTTGGTAGCAAATATATCCGTTACGTAATTATATCTATGAAAAGTAACAGTTAGAATTATTCAAATGATGTGATTATTATTATGATTACTATTATCTTCAAAATAAAATTTTAAATATAAAACTTTCAACATATATCTAGATATGTAATTTTAGACTTGGATAACAGTACGAAACTGTTCTTTTCAGATTGTGCTTTGAAATGTAATTTTCCAATTAAATTAATTAGTATAATTATATATATCATATTAAAAGATGTAGGAATGAAGATTACCCATCTTGAGCTTCGAGTCTGAAGGTTAGAGGATCGCCGACGGCGATGGTGGTCGTAGGTCTGCCCTGATAGAGGATCAGCAAACGTACTCTGGAGCTCAGGGTGTTTTCCGCTGGGAGATATTCGATGGGGATGGGGGATCCTGATCTGTACAGTGCACGTATGAGACTCATTAGCGAAATTGGAGCTAGAAGTCCTCGAATAATGAGGAGGATACGAAAGACGATGCTGACGAGTATAAATTGTCGTTCCAATTATACTATGCATACATGTATGTATATATACAAACACATATACAAAGAATACGAAAAATATGTTCTATATATATATATATATATATTTAATGTAATATAAAAGTTGAATAATTTATATTAACTCAATTGGGAAAATGAAATTGAGAAATACAAATTTATACTCCTCAATTTAATTTTACCAATTGAGTTAAATGAATTATTCATCTTTTAACTAGATATGTCTTTTTGAAAAAAATGAACTAATCGTTATGTCATAATTAACGTTGTAAAAGCAAGACCTTTCCGATGCTCTAAATAATCTAAATTGTAATTAATCTTTTAGCAGACAGCCGTCAGCGTAACCGTAGTATATTATACATGATTCAGTAGGCAATTGTACGAAAAGAAATAGTAGGCAATTGTACGAAAAGAAATAGAATGCGTGCGTGATGTCCTCGAGTGACTTTTGGGATCAAATGTGCAATAAAAGAAATTGGATGAGCGTGCTTGCACCCATATATACTCGCGTAAGGGAAGGGTTTTACTCCGTTCATAGTAATTCGCTAAGAATTATACGTGAGTCCGTAATAACGTACGAAATTAATAAACAAGAAGAGTATTAATCTTGATGCAATGCTCAGTAATATTTGCTTAATAATTGTAAAGACAGAGAATTTGGTTTGCTTGTCCAAAATTATATTTTATCCGAAGAACCCTGTAAAAAATATAATTTGATAAAATTGTAAATTGTAATGTGAGGGAATATTAGTCAGATTTAAAGATTTTTTGCTCTCTTGGTATAATTTTATTTATAAAATTCCGGGATGTTTATGGCACTTAACGCGCATCAAAGATCGTACTCTCGGTGCAAGACACGACCTCTCGATCGATATGACCTGGCATACCCGGCACCGATGTAGCCGGATGTGACGACAGCTTCGCCAGGTCCTCGAAACAGACACGTCAGGTTGAACCGTTTGTCCCGGCCGGTTTGCACGTAATCCGAAAATTGCACCACCACGATGTTCGTCATCGTATCGCCATACTGTAAGCATACATTATTGAAGCATTTACATAAAAAGAAGAATTTATCAGACTCCGTCGGAAGGAAGGGAAATCAATTATTAACAAAGAAAATGAAAATTCTGCGTTATAAATACTTCGGTGTCTCGGTGTCCAATTAAAAGTTATCGAAAGGCATTAATTTCCGACGTCGGATAATTTACGAGGATTTCGTACTCCTCCGAGCGAGTCGTTGAAAGGGGGCGCGCGTGTGTACTCGGTGAAAATTTCTGGCTTAAATTAAATCGGAGATTACTCGCGGATCAAACTGTGAAACGGAAATTGTCACTCTTACTCGTTGTGTGCCGCACTCGGGATATCCCTGAGGTCCGCTGATACGAAGCACGTTCACGGTCCCGCCGTTTCCGCGGAAGAAGCACCGGTCGTAGTATCCGTACGTGTAAATTCGACCAATGAATCCCTCCGGTGTCCTCAAGGTAAATTCCATCCCGTCCTCGCTACAGACTTGACTCACTGGAAGTGTAACAGAACGTAACTCGTCGGCGTGGACGTGATCTCCCGAAAAACTCGTCGATCGACGCGGGGTGCGCGATTAAGAAGTACGAAGTTTAAAATTAAGCCGAAATTGTTGGCCAATAAGAGAAATTATTAGAGGGCGAAGGTGATAATCCGCGATTACACGAATATGGAGGAGATATATAAGTTTGAAACGCATTTAGAACAGCAACCGGAAAGGGGATGGGGATGATTGGTGCGCGATCGTTGCGTAGGTTGCGACGTGCGAGAAAATACCAGGAGAAGAAGTATAGAAAATATAGATGAGAAAAAACGGCATAGAGATTTATTTCATAAAGGTGAGAGTGTGACAGTAGTGCAAAATTGTATGTACCATAACGTGCATAAATTCATCATTAACGTGCATCTTAATAATTCTAGGAATTATTTCGTTGCTTCGACGTGCAGGGTAAAATCATATTATCTTCAGCGATCCGGTGACGAGCTCGACGAATTTCAAAAGAATAAATTCGAAAAGTCTAGAAATTTTATTTGCGTTTCGAACGCATGTTTCATCCTCGTTTCTAACGGGTGCATATTCTCGTGCGTTAGCCTCAGCTTTTGCGTTCTTATGGACGGCGCCTTACGGACGGAGTGGCCGCTTACCATCCAGACATTCCCCATCAGCGCCCTGACGGCCGTTGTTCCTCTCGTAAAAGTCGTAATCGGAACCCGTATCGTAATAAACCGGATTGCCCATGTCCATGTCTCTGGAGTCTCGGTCGCTGAGCTCGCAGTTATCCCTCTCGGCCCCATAAGGCGCGGCGTATGGCCGGTAATTGAAGGACCTGCAAATGACGTCAGGAATTTGCGAGCCCGAATTTGCGATTGTCCGATCGATTGCGCAAACAAACGCCATCGAATCATTCCTAATTCAATTTCAAGCTTCCCGGGTTCACAGGCGTCTCTCTCTTGAGTCACAACTGTCGGAATTCTGCATTCTCTCACTCTGGTTATATCCCTTGAAGTTATATCCCTCTTACTTATTCCCTTATTTAGAATTGTTATCTATCTTTTAGAATTATTTTCTTTTTAAACGTTAACTTTTCTCTATATCAATTAGTGTTTTGAGTGTTAGCAGATGTTTCTACGCTCTCCTGATGATCACAATAAACGTCACTACCATATTATTTAATGTTTAAGTTGGATCAAGATACTTTTCAATTTTTCATTTTCCTCGTGCAATTACTATTTATTTCAAAATTCAGCGACGAGAGAAGACTTTATCTATACCAAGCGTATCTTTCGAATTATGTGCTCACTGTGAAACCTTTCGACATGAAAATTTAAATTATCCTCCAATTATATTTACTTCCGCGAATTCGGCCGTTACTGTTACCTGCAAACGAAGTCTCTGGCGTCCGCGCATTCCCTCTCGCACTGTGCCAGCGACGAGGCAGTGGTGTACCGTCTGACGAACGGCTTCCGTACCCTGATGTGAGGTCCTACTTGTCTGAAATTGTCCTGCTCGTCGCACCTGGACACTAACGGGGGTCTGCCTATGATAGGCCCGCCGGCAGTTCCAAATGGACGGGAGTTGTAAACACCCCCTTCGCCTATATATCCACCACCGACGATACCACCGTCGCCGCCGTACCCTCCGTACCCTCCGACCGGACGTGCGGAGCCATAAGGCCCCCCGCCGCCGTATTGAGGTCGCGGCTCGGGGCCGTGGCTCTGAGGACCACGAACATCATCGACGAATCCCGAGTAAAAGCCCGGTCTTGACGGTGGATACCTGCTGCTTATTGAGATAAAACGTAATTTTTCTGTGACAATTTGTGAATTATTTTTATCTGTGCCGCTGTGATCTTCTTTTCAGAAATGTCCTGATAATTTTCAGCGGAATTTTGTAAAAAAACAAATCTGCCTGTCTTTTAATTTTAAGTAAATAGATAATAAAATAAAAAGCGCTGCCAGCCTCGCGAAGATATGGCGTTTAATTATATTACGCAATATTTTGTATCATTGTGCGCGTATGAAAATTTTACCGTGTTAAATATATAAAAGTTCTATTATGGTAGACACACAAAACTCGTTGAACACGGACACAACATGTTAATGGAAAAGCGACAAGCTACGATACACAAGAGAAATAATAACGTTCGGTGTAATCATTATACGATTGCGTTGATTTACCGCTGACCTCGTTACTTACCGATTGGCGTAAGGATCTTTATCCGGATATCTCCCAGTAGCTGGATACCAATCGATAGGAGATCTGTCAGGATATCGATCCATCGTATCATCCGGGAAGGGATACCGGTCAATTGTATTGGGGTATCGATCGATCATGTCGGTAGGATATCGGCTTGGATATCGTGTTATTGTACCGTGTATCACAGGATATCTTTCCAGAGTTCCGGCATCGGGATATCTATCGATGCCAACGGGACGGCGATCAGGATATCGATTATCTGGATATTTATCATCTAAGGGACGGCGATTAGGATATCGGCTATCTGGATATCTATCATCTAAAGGACGACGATCGGGATATCGAGTATCTGGATATCTGTCATTTAAGGGACGGCGATCTGGATATCGGTTATCTGGATACCTGTCGTCTAAGGGACGACGATCGGGATATCGGTTATCTGGATACTTGTCATCTAAGGGATATCTGTCGTCTAAGGGACGACGATCAGGATATCGGTCTAGATATTGGTCTGGATAACGACTTGGGTAACGGTCTGGATAACGATCTGGATAGCGGTCGGGATAGCGGTCGGGATAGCGGTCGGGATACCGGTCGGGATAACGATCAGGATAACGACTGGGATACCGATCTGGATAACGATCTGGAATAGAATCTGGATAACGCTCGGGATAACGATCCGGTTTGACGCTGCTGGAATATCCTTTGTCGTAATCGTCTGGATATCCTAAGGGAAATATTTTACGAAATTTCCTGTTGTTTAATTAATGCACATAAAATATTTTATGTTTTTAAGTAATATGGAAACTGAGAAACAAATAAATCATGGAAACAATAATTAACAAAGTATTACACGTGATTATATGTGATATTATTTAATTTGGTATTGTTTAATTTTTTATTAATATCAAATGCGATTGTCAGTAGAAAAAGTAAAATTCAAAATTAAATTCATTGTAATGTTATTAAGATATCAGATACAATGGAAATGTAATTTAAATCAGTTTAATATTCGAGCAACAAGATTTATGATATATGCGAGACGATTGTAATGGATGAGATGTTAACAATATTTCATTTAACGATAATTATATACGTGCTCAGGATCTTGTTCCATTAAAACAATTTGTATGTTTACTCAGCAGTTCTATGAATAATTGCACAACTTTATACAACACGTTGACGTACGACATTATATTGAATTAATAAAGCGATTCTAACCCGGTCTTCCTAAGGAGGGTCGTCCAAAGTTTGTGTCCTGTCCCAGAGGATCCGGTCTATATCCAGGTCCATCACGATCTCCGTCTAGATATTGATCTGTCGGTATGGTTCATCGTTAAATTGAACATTGAGCACGTGATGCAAAGCTATTGTATTGTTCCAAAGTTCGCGAAAGGTGCAACGTGATCGTGCAGTGGTATAGGTCAATCTACCAGCCGACACACGGTCGTTTATGAAGAAAGAATTGAAACAATTTCAAATTTTAAATGAAAATAGAAAATAAATATCCCAAAATTTAATTAAATTCGCTTCTTATCCATCTTCTTCGGCTAAAATAAAATTTGATTAGTCGCTTGATAAAAAAAAAAAAAAATTTATCGCGGACGGCACGGAATTCAGGAACTGTTTAACGCGGATAGACGGATGGACAGCCAATCACGATACTCACGCATGAGATTCTCATAATAGTCATAATCGGCGTCATAGATAATTCGGTGGCCATCTCTTTGATTGAATCGGCTCAATCGGCAGGTATGATAATGCTCGGAGTAGACGGCGCTGCGGCACTGAAAGCTCGTCTGCCGGAGACACTCGTCCAGGCACTCGCTGAGGCTGCGTCCGGTGATCTCCGAATGAAACTCACCGCTCAGACGCGAGTTCCGATAACGCTGGAAAGCCGTGTCCGGACGACGACCGTCGGAGAAAAGGTGCGACGTCGAGCTGCTGTCCGGATACTCAGAGCCGCGCGCTACGGAGGGATCTACGCTTCGTAAGTGGGCATTGATAACGAGTTGTAAATCACCAATCGACCATTGTTAATTATACCTTACATTCAGTTAAAATATAGCATAAACAATAATGCCGAATAGGATCAAAATCGTTCTGTGGTGTATTAAATTCTTGATTAGTATGAATACTATAATTTTACTAATTTATAATACAGGTTTACATATTGTATTTCTAAATCTTTATTTCAATCATTTACCACCGGTTTACCACCGGTACCAAGTTAGTGGAATTAATGAAATTATAAAAAAAGTTTAGTGATTAGTGAACTATAATACATCGAGATTTTAAGAAAGTTAAAGTTAAAAAAATAATTTAAGCCCAATAGGTTTGGTTAAGGTAATGTTAAAATTAATTTTATTTACAATATTAATTGCGAATATAACGAAATTACATCGTTATATCATCGATAAATGAAAAGAGCCCATATTACAGTTATTATAAAGTTTGTGCAAACACTCACGATTATCTAAGCACATCAGATCGTAAAAATGATGACTTGGACTGTTGCTAATTCCGATGTCATCTTTTTGCGAGACAGAATCTTCCTCGGATATGACACATTGTCGAGTTTGCTCGTCAAACTCGACGCTGCGACAGAAATATTTCTCCGCTTTGAGACACATCGCTTGGCACTCCTCTAGAGTGAGATTTGTAAATATGTCCACCTCAAACGGACCGCGTAAACGTTTGTTTTCTTCCTTGACGAATACTGAGAGCCCGTCGCATCGTCTCTCGGCTAATCGCACATTAAAAATGATATTTTTTAATTGTAATAATTAATTAACAAATATGTACAATATGTATTTTTTAATATATTTTGTATGCTAATTTAATGTTTTTAATAACATTACATTTTTTTACGCAATTTTTAATTATCACATTACAAAAAGTTTTTAACACAATTCGATGATAAACTAATACATAAACGATTTCTGTAAAAATTAACTAAAAACGTACCATTAAGGCAAGTATTTTCTAGATAATCAGAATTCGGATCATCCTCCAATAATTCGGGATGAGTTCTTCTAGTGAAACGACTGAGAGAACAACTTCTTAGGGCAATGTCGTATGTTGCTGATCGGCAAACGAAACTGAACTCGTTGAGGCATCTAAATGAAAAATTAAAATGCCGTTTTCTTTACGATGCCCATTAATTTTTAATTTTTTTCATGCATACCTGTCCTCGCAGTCAGTTCTATTAACAGCGCTGACTTCCTTGAGGTCTGTCAAAGGTAGCTTCAACTTTTTTCTCGGATGTCTCTCAAACACATAAAGACGATTTGGACATTCCCTCTCTATTCTATCGGCTGAGATTAAAAAAGAAAATAATATTAATAAATTCCTACTAAATAAAGATTCCTAAAAACAAATAGAAATAGGTCATAATTAAGAATTTCAAATTAACTCGAGAAAAGAATTAATTTCTACGTATTTCTCGCAAAATATTCGCGTCTGTTTGCCGTTTCTGGTAGAACTAAAAAAAGAGATTATTACGATTTTTTTTTCTCAACGAGACAATCTCGTGAACGAGAGCGGCTGTTTCAATTAATGCGGCACGGTGCACATACGACGATATTTTTTTTTTCTGTCCACGTGCGGATACTCACACGCCAGGCATACTTCGGTAAAGTGCACGCTGTTCGGTACGAGCATGAGATTTCCGATGCCCTCCGGCTGCGCCTGTTCTCTCGTTAAATAGCAAATGCTGTCCTCGTACTCGGCGACGCCGCCGTAGGACAAGATTCTGCTGCCGGGTTGAAAGTCAAAGCTCGTACACACGCGGACCAGGTTGGTCGTTGCGGTTCTGTCACTCAGACAGAGCTCTTGACACTTTTCCAGGGCCCTGAACGGAGGCCCCGATTTTCGCATCTATGGTAAAACGGAATCCCTTAACGTCAGCTACGTCCCTTATCGTCAGTTACGCGGGGTGACTCCGACTACTGTCAATCGCGGAATTGCGGAGAAATGAAACTCGAGAGACGATCTCGCTCGATCTATCATTTCCACGCGGATGCACGGACAAAGGTTTGCCGCTAATATTATGTTACAGCTAATATTAAAAATATGTATCTGGAAATTCTGAAAATTTTACACACAGAAATGAAATTTACACTATATATTTCAACGGACATTTTACGAGTTCGCGAAACTGGAGCGCGATAGTTAAAAATTGAAACGTAAAGTACTTTCGAAATGCAATACTACCAAATCGTCGTCGAAACCCTGAAGCTGCTGATCCGGAAGTCTCTCGTAAACCACCCTACCCAAACCACCGTTGCAGGTCGTTTGCGCTGAAACTACAATGGTTTTCTCGTTAGTGCCCGTTTGTCGGTCAACGCACGACAGATCTATTTCTGATTTTATTATTTATATATTGTTTCGTGCGGAAAAGCACGGATTATTGTTTCCTTTCCACATATAAAATTCAGGCTACTTCCTCTAGTCGGCAAACACGAACGCGCGCACTTCGATCTTATCAGCGCGATATTTTCGTGCCATAAGTGGCACGGATAATGACACAATACTCGACCAACGGTTTCGCAAGTACGATGTAACATAGTTCTACCTATATCTTTCAATTTGCTTGTTCACACGTTCGCGGAATTATTTAGTTACATCCGAATTCCAAACGACGAAGCGCATTTTTCCAGAATACGCGCGCCGAATCCGAAATAAAGATTTTCGATTCTGATTTTAAACAAAAATTGCTATCAACTCGAAATGATTAATGCCTCGTATCTCAATCATCTTATTAATTAAATTTGAATAAATTCTATTTATGATTACATAATCCTATTTAATTATTAATGGAAATTTGACAAAGATGATTTTTCCTTCTATTAGCTTTTTAAAAACGAAAATGTTATGATATTTGTGAATAACGTATTAATAGTTTTGTCTGCAAAGATTATATAGAATTTTGAACTCATCTTACCATTGACCAATAAATTTAACACGATGAATATCCAGGTGGCTGGCAGCATACTAATTAATCTGTGAATTCTCCGCATCGTGACAAAATATACAGATTACTATGTCGCATACATGCCAATCGTTACTAAAATCTGAAAGTAAATTATTATTTATAAAAAAAGGAAAGAGATGTGTTTCTTTATTTCACAAGAATATTATTATTATTGAAACTTTTGCGATATACATTTTTTTCGGCAAGATTGTTAAATGTGCATTGTTACAAGAATATTAAATTATTTTATGTTATTTTCTATAAGAAATTATACGAAGTAGAAAACTAGAACACTCGGACATGAATCGTGCGTCTCGCTTCGAAAAGAGAGGAGAAATTTAATTTATGCGAGGAGAGAAATGCTCTTCTAAGGGGTAGCTTTGTATTGAAATTTAATAATGCAAGAGATCTCGAAATTATTTACGCGACGGACTGTCCAGAAGACTACACCTATTTTCCACGTATTTTTCCTTTCCACGAAATAAGTGTCTATAGGGAAAAATATAGAAATTGTTCATACGTGTATACTTCAAAGGTACACGAAAGTTTTTAAAAATTTCACGCTACATAAATATCTCTTATTTTGTATTTAACTGGAAGGCTAATTAAAAGAATTCACACGAATACATTTATAAAAAAGTACATGTACAAGAGGAATTGATAAAAAATAATTATTGCTCAGCTATTTTTCGAAATCGTTCGAACATTTCTTCCGAATTTCCCTGGGAGAAATCAGGTGTAACAAACGCAAATCCAGTTTTTGTCCCTCCTGTGTAAAAAAAAAGAAAAACCGCACATGAAAAGTCGAAATACAGAATAAATCTGCGCGAGTACCATTTGTTCTGGCCGATGGACGTTTCTATTCGAGATACATACATAGGGACAGCGTGTACTAAACTTTATGGGATTCCTGACGAGCGCTCACCCTGAACACTTCCACACACACTCTCACCCTCATACGACCATATATATATATATATATATATATATATATATATATATATATAGTACGCGTCGACGACGAACGACACGACACGACCGAC